GCTTTCCTTGTCATGAGTTGCAGAAGTTCTCTTGGTGGGTGGGGGTGTGTAGTGTTTGGAGGGATCAGGAAGGGAGAGGAGGAAGGGGTGGTGATTTATCATGGAGACTTTGTCATGCAGATCTTCTGACTCTGCTTCATCTGTAAGTACTGCTGGTAAGGAAGTGAGCTAGGGAAGAGTAGCTTCCCAAGCATTGGCATTTGGAGTTTTGCTTTATGTAGGTGGCTGGTGGGACCTGTAGTTTTAGTATTTGGCTTAAGCAGTTTTTGTTAAGCTGCTGATAAAGGAGAGCCGCCTTGGTAATAATTATGTAGCATGTGGTTACGCCTTAATCTCAAGCGATGTAAGGATTTTTCTTTAGTTGTGTGTGGCAGAAACATCCAGCTTGTGTGCTTTTATTGTGTTAATCAAAAATGCTGCCTTTTGCTTTTCCAGAATTTCTCTGTCACTTGTAAAAGGCTGAAAAGCAAAACTTTTTTTTGCTGCCTAGCGTTTACCTAAAGCTTTCATCTGGTAACTGTTCTCCTGAAATTTCAAGCTTCTTCAAAAGAAATTGAACATTAAATTTTTGTCTTCTAGGGCTGCCATTTTCATTGAAAATATTTTAAGAGAAACAATGGAAAGCTGTAATCAGTTGTAAAAATACATAAATGAGCTTTACCTGTGTGTTAGAAGAAGAGATTAAAGGATAACTATTCTCTAAATTTCACGCATTTAGTTGTGGAAGCTGTTTCCCTTCTCCCCATGTGTTTTAAGTGAACTAAGTGAACATTAATGCCCTCTGCTCAAGCCACATTTACTGCAGTATAAGGCACAGGGGAGGTGTTTGTAGGGAAGAAGTAATTTCTGATCTTTAGAAAGGCAGCATGTTCTTTGAAAGAATTAAGTATTTATAATTTGGTTTCTCTTCCAGCAAATCTAATTTATGGAGACACTGGGTTTTTGAATAGGAGAAGCATTTGTGGAGCAGCTTTATGAAAAAAGCTGTACGTGTGTAAGCACACTTAGGGACGAAGATGGAGGAGGGAGGTATTGGTGTGGAGCCAATCTTGGAGCTCAGAAGGGTGGGATGGCAGAGTTGGCTTCGCTGCGAGGCTATGTCCTTGCTCTGTGTCTCCTGCCTGAGCAGCAGCAGAGGGGCCTGGTGGGCAGCAGTAGCCACAGGCCAGGTCACCGTGCCCAGCAGGAAGGGCCGTGGTCGCAGTTGCAAGTGTTGGTAGCCCAGTGGTGGCCACGCGGAACTGAGTTGCAGCTTTTCTTCCCACTGCTCAGCTGGGCCTCTCTTACTGCTGCCTTGGTTCTGTGCATTTGTCAGGATAATTTGTAAGGATCCAGAAATTTGTTGTTGGAAAATGTGTAATGGTGATTGTCTCCCCAGCCACCTCATACTTCCTTCCTGCAGCCTTGCATGTTCCTCATCACAGAATCACAGAGTTGTTGAGGTTGGAAGGGTCCTCTAGAGATCTCCAAGTCCAACCCCCCTGCTCAAGCAGGGACACTCGGAGTACGTGGCACAGGGTGGCATCCAGGCAGGTTTGGAAGATCTCCAAAGAAGGAGTCTCCACAACCTCTCTGGGCAGCCTGTTCCAGTGCATCAAGCCCAATGGCAAGTTGGTAGAAAGGCCAGAGCTACTTATGGAGCTACATGAATAGCCGGTTTAGGTAAAATATATTAATGGTTCCATCCCCAGTCATGGGGCATGTGGAGCTCTTGGCACATATGCCCTGGCAAGCAGCCTGAAAATTGAGTGATCCACAAACAGGTGACTCTGGGTATAATTTTCACAGCAGATGTTTATATCAAAAATTCATTTGAAAGTGTTTATTGTACATGGTTTCCTTTCACTTAAATCTGTTTCAATGATATTCCTAACAGTAGCCCGGTTTTGTTGAAAGTTGTTTAATGTTCTTTTTTCCTTTGGAAACCATACTTTTGTCAAGATAGTTGTCTTTATACCTGATTTAATAGCACCCATGCTGTGAGTTTTGATGTCTTCACTCTTGCTTCTTTATTCATATTGCTTTCAGTTCTTCCTTATTTTAATAAAAGTTTCTGGGATTATACTTAATTGATTTGTCACTCAAGGAAAATCAGCACTTCAAGCAATTAAGCGTCGAAAAATACTAGGTAACAAAGACATAAAGATTTTTGTACTTATCCTAGTTATGAAAAATCCATTATTCATTATCATACTGTTTTTAAATACTGAAGTACAATTTTCCAGCACAATAGGAAAATTGCTTTTGAAACAGAATAAATTGCTTGCCAGTTCAGAGGCTGTATTTTGAAGCCAGGATTACAAACATGATGGTGCTTATGCTCATTATCTTCACTACTTGGTGAAGCTGCATATTTAAAAGTGCGAAGCTAGATCCTGATTGTGGAAAAAATATTTGTTTATAAGATAATGGCACAAAACACTTAAAGCAACTGTGATTAGGACATCAATGTACTTGCAGATATTACCAGATTTACAGGAGTAGTCTTAAATATTAAGCGTGTCTGTGAATGTGTTCACTGCCTAGTTTTGCAGCTTTCCCATAATTCTCTTCCATTAATGTGTATTATTGAGAGAGGCTTTAACTATGTTTGCTTTGTTACCATATCCATATAAAGCAAATTATTTTGTGAATTGGACTCATTTTCTTCACAAGCTGACTTTTCTTTAAGTTGGACTTTGTACAAGAGTAAAAGAAGTGATCTGTTGGTTTACAACATGTTGCTGTATAGTCTGGTAACAGCTGACAGATTGTGGTTGCATTGGATTGTGTTACAAATACAGTGTTAATTGATCAAATGTCTAACAGTAGTATACAGTGTAACAAAAAGCTCTATATTAAAGCAAGTAAATGTAATATAGTTGGATTTAATTGGGACAGATTATGGAAGTGTTGAAAGCGAATCCATTCAAACTCGGACCTCTTTTAGCTATTTTATAAGCAGTTATTTTATTATTGTGTGATAAAGTTCTAATTTGAGAGTAATCTGCTCTTATGTAATATATGTACTAAGCTCTAATAATTACCCTGTTTTGGGAAGTTAGCTTTGGATAGTATTGTTCTTAAGGAAACATTTATTGTTGCCAAAATAAAAAATGTACTGCAAGATTGCCTTATTATAAACCCTGCATCAGATGCAGCTTTTTACAGCCAGCATCATTGTAGTTTGGGTTTGTTGTCTTTGTTCAGAGAGAAGAATAATGGAAAATTCTTTCAGAATTTCTAATCTTTATAAATGTCACATTTCTGCATAACTAACTCATAAGTTGGAATCTGTACAGTTTTTTAGCAGAAAGTGAAATGTTTTTCCTGAGTTTAAGTTGTTACTGTGATTTTGCATTATTTGAAACAAGTGGGGTTATTCGTTTGTTTTCCTTTCTTTGCAAGGTCTAATGTGATAAAGTTCCAGTTCTTGGGGCCCAGAATGCTGCCCTAAGGGCCTTACATGCTGTTCTCTTTTCTCAGCTCCTCCCTTTTAAGTATTATCTTGCTCAGACCACTTTAGAAAATAAAATTCCATAATAATATCCCATACAAAATGATTTATAGATGATGTGGAAGGCGCTGTGGGCAAAAATAATGTCAGCTAAAAGGGGAAGTAACTGGCTAATCGATAGTGTTTTCTTCCTTATTTCTTCCTTATTTAGATCTAAATTACTAATTGTTGACGTGGATTTTTTACATAGTGTAAAGTATGTTGTGTACTTTTTTGGTTAAAAAAATATGCTACAGTATATTGAAAATCAAAAGAAAAATCCCGGCATTCGAAAGATTAACTGTTTTACTCTCTTCTCATATAGAACAGGGCAAACCACAGAAAATGTAGGGCAAAAGGAAAGGCTGTCAAATTTTGTATTACATTTTCTCAGCTTATTGTATATTAAAAATCCAGTGACGGTGCCTTTTCATGTTTAGCCCTGCTGTTTGTAATGCTACTTTCTTGTCAAGATATTGAGCTCGCCTCTCAAATCTAATGGCTCATAATTTCAGTGCGGCTTTGCCTACTGCCATGTGTCCTTCCTGGACTCCCCGTGCTATTGCTACTAATCCAGCAATAAGAATTTGACCCTGGTGAATGTTGCTCTACTGATCTGCGCTCTCTCAAGCCCCTTGTCATTTCTTTTCCTAAAACTTCATATTCTATTAATGCATAGAACTTTTGATAGTTTTCTGTTGTGTATGAATAAAGTTAAACTTTCAGATTTGAGGCTTTGGTATGCTGTGTGTTTCTAAAGCTCTGGGTAAACTTGTCCTGATGAATCATTTGTTTAGGATTTAACAGGTTTTTTTTTTCTTTCTTTTTCTCCCTCTGCAGTGTAAACTTTTGTGTAAAAGGGTAAACTGTTACCTTGCTTAGCTAGTGTAGTAGTATGTTCCTACTGTCTCTTGAAAGACTTATAAGGAATGTATAAGCTCACCTAAGAAGGTGAGAGGAGGAACTAAATTACTGAGTTCTGAGAAATACTTTTGTTTTACATGACTGCATAAATTCAGGAAAACTCCTGGTGTTCCTGGACACTGGAATACAATGTGTGGCATGATACATGGTGTATCCTTGGGTGAAGTTGGGCCTTTCTAGCATTTGCTCTTCCTAGACATTTTCCAGGCAGTGGTCTAGGACCTCTGAGATGTTCAACACTAGTGTGGTGTTTCTGTGTGTGCACAAATATATCAGTTTAAGCATTTCTCTTTGTTATTTACTGTTTTATTAAAAGATTGTTTTTTAGGTTGCTGTGGGGAAAATGGTGCAGTCCCAACATGCACCATGTAAGAAATGATTAAGTAATAAAGAACAGATCATGTGGCACCGTTTGACTTTTATTTATTTTTAACTTGTTGTTCTTGTTGGTGTGATGGCACAAACACATGAGGTGGTTAGATGAAAGTGTGTCTGATAGAGTTGCTTTTGCCATATAGAATTTTATTTCAAGAGGTTCACAGTAATGAAATAATTATATATTGGTTATTTATTTAGTGTTTTTATTTTGTTTTGCCAGGTACCAAGTGGAAGATGAGTCCTCTCATTTGGATGAAATGCCACTAATGATGTCAGAAGAAGGCTTTGAAAATGATGAGAGTGATTACCACACTCTGCCAAGAGCCAGAATTTCTCAGAGAAAGAGAGGCTTAGAGTGGTTTATCTGTGGTGGCTGGAAATTCCTTTGCACTAGGTTTGTTGCATAACAGCGCTTTTTGCTATACTGTTCAATGAATTAAGTAAATATTAATTTTGTGTATTGTGTGGAATGTGCAGAGTATAAGAACACAATAATTTGCTTGTCGTGTTCCTTTTGACTGTTTCTTTTGCCTTTTCCATACTAACCCAGCAGTGAAACTTAACAAAAGCAAACAAAAATCGAAGAAACTGCTGCTGTGAACTCCTATCTGCTTTGCTGACTTAAAAGGAGAGGCTTTTAAGAGAGATCATATATTAAACTTGTACTAATCGGAAGGCCCATAACTGGCAGTGTACAGGCCAGATCCTCACTTAAAACCAAGTTAGGAGGAAGGGGCTAAAGTTTTGCTTTACCTTGTTATTAATGTGTTAACTGGTAAAAACACACAGATTTGCTAGATGAAGAGAAGATGCTGAAAAGAAAATTCGAATTCACTATTTAATGATTCTTTTGTGCTTCAGCTTTAAAGGTTGATAAGTGTGGTGGCCTTGGAGTGGCTAACAGATAGAATTGGCTCTTGTTACTTGGTTCGAATTTATAAATCTCTCGTGTTTGGATTGCTTTAGAACTAGTAACCCTCTAATGAGTTCCTAATGAGTTTCTAATTATAGAAAATGCTTTAAGGATTGTTCAAATACAATTTTTTTTGGTTGGTAAAATTTGAGGATCAGTCAGTGCAATGAGTGATACATTTTCTGTGAATGTTGAGTGAATGAGTTTGGCAAATTATTTTAGAATTGCTTTAGATGCAAGTCTTCAAGTGGTTTTTATGAGACTATTTCAGAAACAAGTGTTCTATGTGAAAAATCAAAATTTGTATTTGTACACACTTAGTTTTGAAATAATTTGTTAATACTGCTCTTTTCTTTGTGGTCTTTGTGTATCTAGTGTTTTACAGGATTTCAGTCATGAGACGTGATTTTTCTTTGTCTTTTTTTTTTTTGTAAACATTTTGAAACATTCTGAATGCAGCTATTCTATCTGTAATTATATCATGCATTTCACGCTCGGCTTTCAGAGGAAATGAGGCTCCCAGTGATGCTTCTTCTCTTGGTCTTTATGCACCTTTTAATTTTTCTGGTGATTTAAATACACCTTACTGAAGAATAGGCATTTCAATTACATTTCTGTAATTTTCCTGAAAACAGGCTTGCAAAGAAGGCACCTCATAGTTGCCTTGAGTGAGGCATTGAAAAATCTACAGCATTTAGTCAGGGCCAGGCAATTATGGGAAGAATTTCATTTGGAATTCGTTAATGACCGTAGGAGGAAAAGTTCATAAGAAATTATCACTGGTTCTTAGGGTTGCAAAACTCAGTGGATTTGATTGCTTTTTAGCCTTACTGGGTGCTTCTGAATTTTAAGTGAAAGTCAAGCCTTGAAAGTTTGGATTTTTTGAGAATGAAAAGAGCAAAGGTGGTGCATTATGGATGGGTTATTTTGTTAACATAGATGTGTAAAAGAAAAGCCCTCACTAAGGAAGATGCAGAGGAGTGTGATTTCTGCCTCACTAATTTTCTCAACTGGATTCTAGGAGATTAAGAAGTCTGTTCAGTCTTGTGTATTTATACATGGAAGCATTTTGATCACATAGAATTTTCTGTAATGGAGAGTGGAGACAGATAACTTTTGTTTTGTATGAAATAAAAATGAACAACAAAAACTACTAAAAAGAGGCAGAGACCAAACCTTAGCAAAAGCTTGAAATTTTTTGGGGACATTAAGAGGCTCAATGTGGCTAGAATATTAGTTTGCTGAGCTTGAGGAACTTCTCTTGTAGTCAAGACTGTGCATTAACTGTTAATAGTTCTCCTTTGTAGTGTGCTATGTTTTTATTATCTTACTAAAAATAATAAAAAATAGTTATTGGGGCTCATTGAATGCTAGAGTTTGAAGTGCCTACTTCTTGTCATTCATAAATTTGCCTTGTATTGCCAGATACATGGTTATTACTTGTACTGTGTAGTAGAATGAATTGCACTCTTTTTTTTCCCCAGTATAGGATATCAGTTTGGTACAGAATTGGGTCTTAATGCCTTCACAGTGGAAGTGGACAGCCACATGTGAGGAAAACATGATTTTCATGTTTGTCGATGGTAGATTATGTGCTTATACATATCCCACGAAGGAGTGAAGTTTACTTATTTCCCAAAGGCAAGCTGCATTTGTGTTCTTTAAAGTGTAATAGGAGATGAAATACATCATCATAGTCAGAAATTAATATTTTGCCTCGCTTCTAAGTAAATAAGTATTTCATATCTGAAATCTGATGAGGTTGGAATTTCAAATTTCACATCCAGAATTACCCTTCATGCCTTAAACTGGAATGTAGTTTGTCAGAGCTGTGGCAGAAAGATGAGTGCAGTAAGGGGCTGTGAATTTCTAAAGCGCTGAGCTCAACGGGCCTCTTTTTTTTTTTTTCCTTTTTTGGAGGTCCTGTGCTGGAGCAAACATAAGCAAACAAAAATCAAAAGCCTCATGCCTACTAGTGTGCATTCGCTTTCTTGTTTCCTACTCTGACATTGTTGTTTTTGTCAACGTGAGAGGAGGATTTTTCCCTCTCATCCTTTGGAGCATGAGATTTTTATATTCTGTCATTTCTATTACTGCATTATAGTTAAAACTGTTCTTGTTCAATTCAAAATTTCACACAAGTATTGTAGTTAAATGTATATCAAAATTGGTTTCATACAGTGAAATCCTTTATGCAGTTTCTGCCTAGGCAAATAGGCTGTTGTTGACCAGAGTGGTGTGCACTTTATTAGTAAATCTGCAATCTTTTAAACATTTTTTTTTTTTGCATTTGCAGGAGGAAAAAAAATCATAATTAAATCAAATGTCATTGATTTTTGAACAAACTGAAGATTTAATTCAACCAATACAACTTTTAACTTCCCCAGACCGCTTATTTCTTGCTTTCATAGCACTGTTAAAAGAAAACTTTGCAATATAGCAGCTGTTTTGTGCCTGTAATCATTTCCCCTTTAACTTACAAATTCTCTTCAAGCTTGTGAAATTATAATGCATGTAGATCAATACTCTGGAGTTCTTTGGGTTGGATTGATTTCTTTCTCAAGAGATTTACATTCCACTTGTTATCAAAAAACACTTTGTCCCTATGAAAATGGTGCCATTGAATGGCATTTCCATATGAAGTGAAGGGGATATCAAATGCTCGGATTAATTTGGGCTTTAAGATGGCCTGTACGCTTTCAATTAATCTGCAACGCATTTGTTATGCAGAAGCATGGGAAAATGCTGATCTTTTAAGAATGACATGACTACTGTGTTGCTTTTGGCCTGATTACTGAAGCTACCTGTTGAGTACAATAATTACAGTATGTTTTCTTTGCAGAACTAGTTTCTGCTACTTAAAACCTAATAAGGAATGGCTGACCCTTGCAGACAATATAGAGCTTTTATATTATCTTTCCTTTCTGATGAAAATGCTCTTTTGTGAAAGATTCTGACAGTTAAGCTTGTAGGATAAAGTAATGAAAAGAAAGGGGGGAAAAAAAACTTATTAGAGCTGTGGAGTCAGTTGAGACTTTTACTTTAGCTTTTGACTTGGAGAGATATGCTCTGTTTGTGGGAAAAGTTAAGCATCCTTATTTAAGGATTGCAGTTTTTTTTTTTTTAATATAACATCAGTTACTAATAATGACAAATATGGTTGTTCTTTCAAACATAAAAAGTTTGTTAGGAAGCAGGTTTATAAAATCAATAGGTCTGCTTTAAAGCTCAATTAGCTGTGCTTTTCTGTGTTTTATAGTGTATTACATTAAATACAATACAAATAAATACAAATACACTTTAAAATGGATTTTAAAACTAGATTTTTCTAACTGATGCATCCCTAGTATAGGATGTAGCCTTGTATTAAGGATTTCATGACTATTTAAGAATGTCTTGATTATGACATGTCTTACACTAATATTTTTATTTTTGAGGCCTAGAGAATGTTTCTCTCCTGCTATTTTTAACATGCGGATTTAGAGGGTCTGAAAAGCCTACAAAAAGATCAAAATCCTTGCACAAAAAATAAAAGCTTTGTGGGATGTAAATGTGTGAATCAATTAAATACATATTTGAATTTAAGAGTTACTGCATTTCAAAAAAATGGACCATTCTGATAAATCTGAATTAACACAAGTTGTTTGGGATTTGTGAGGCCAACATGTCCATCTCTTTCTTGTGGCATAATGGCAATTTCTGCTAAAGTTGTAAATGATGGGCACTGTCTGATTTTGACTTCAAGATAATAAAACTGATCCGACCCATTACAAAATTGATTTGCGTGTAAGCCATAGTTGCTTTCATTATCTGAGATTTTTCTTACATCTGAGAGCTTGAAGTGTTGTCATACCTGCTCGTGAGTCCTTTTCATCAAAGGCATCATGGCTGTTTCCCAGTTAGATGCATTCCCCTGTCTGTGCTTCTGGACATTTGCTAAATTGATGGTCACTGTGGCATCTGTTTCAGCTACTCTGATCTGTAAGGGAAAAAACTAGCTTGAAGAAGGGGAAATTCCATTGCAAGGGCAGCAGTAATTCAGTAGCCTGAATATTTAGTTTGATCACTTATCAAATTAATTCAAATATTTTATGTTAGCAACAGAAAAGTCCTCAGTCTCTTAGGAAATCATTCTGCAAAAGAGATTGTGCCTAGTCCCGTGTTGGATCTATTTACACTTAGAATTTAAAAAAAAAATAAAAATTAAGCAATGCAGGATTTCAAAGGTTGTTAGGGAATTTCTGCCTTCAGGCCTGTGTCTAATGCTTATCCATTTTCCCAATTATTTTCTTTTTTTTTTTTTTGCTACACTTTTGTCACATAAACTAGAACTGTTATCACTTTTTCCTATGCAATTAAGTTGTGCCTCCCATTTGTATTGTGTGTTTTCCCCCTGCCCAGGAAACTAATCAGTCTGAAGCTTTAATTCCATGAGCAGTTTGATCAAGTGTAAATCTAAGGTGCCACTGAATGGAATGGGCCCCCCTCCTGCGGCAGGCGCGTCGCCTGCGCTTCTGCAGCGCTTCTCGCAGTTGCGTGATGAGCTGTGGTGCAGTTTTGCTAAAAATAGACCTGTTTTTATTGTGAACCATTGTGTCAGAGTAAAGGGCAAGGGCAAGAAAATGCCCTTTTGTTAGGGCAGGAGGATGGGAGCAGGATAAGTTCAGCGCTATAAAAGCTGTTGTGGTCCTGTGACATACAAACCAGTGCTATTTGTCTTGTTTTAAAGACAGATTTGTGCCATGATGAAGACAATTGCACATTGTTTCGGTTTTTAAAGTAGAATAATTCTGTGTCACTATTTAAAAATGGGAGGTAGAAGTTTCTGAGTGGGCCTATACTCATAACAAAACTGCATTTCTGCAAATCAAAATGCATTTTCACATAAAATCAAGACAAACTGATGTCTGTTCTGTAGTTCAGGTGAGGTTCAGGGAGGTGATATTAAAAATCCAGTATTTAGAATTCAGTGGCTTTAACTGTAAGTTAGTGAGTGTCGCATGGAGCCACTTCCAGAACAGTGTAAGTGTTGGTTCTTCCTTGCACTTCTGCATAGCTCCCCTGTTGCTTTTTAAGACGGGCCTGCAGCTTTCATCGTGGTTTGTTCTACAGCAAAGCCAGGCTGTGAGCAGAGCTGCGGGCGAACGCGAGGAGCGGCGCGGCTGCGGCGCAGGGGAGCCGACTGCCAGCCCCGGGCGCTGCCTGTGGGCGCCGTTAGGCCGCAGCTGAGGAGAAACGGCACCGCAAGGGCCCCAGGGGCACGTCCAGTCGGGTATTTGCCCCACAGGGTGGGCTGTGCCTCTCAGTTATGTCTGATCTGACGAGCTCCTGGAGCCAGCATGGGTATTCCATTCCAGCCCTTCACTGCCCTTGTCTTTAGGAGAATTTACCTAATGTCTGTGCCCTATTTAGTTATCTGCTGCAGTGCAAGTCCTTCACTGGGGGCTAGAGAGGAATTTTCTCTGCTGTGTTTTTACATACATGTCACCTCTTCCCGTGCTTTTGTAGTTGAAACTCACCGTTACCACCTGGTTCTGTGCTTTGGCTGTGTGGATGGTCACAAAAAGCCTGTCCACTCTGTTGCTGTGGTTCACTGGTCTAAAATAGACTCATAGTGTGATTCAGGTCCCCTCCCCCAGTATTAAAAATTTAGAGATATACTCCCGTCAGATAGAAGATGAATGAACAAGTATGCACAGTATAGAGCAAACGCACTTCCTCTTCTGTCTGCACTACCACTTTTCCAAACCACCTGTGTATTAACAAACACTTCCTCTTCTGTCTGCACTACCACTTCTTTCCAAACCACCTGTGTGTTTCTGTAGGTTATGCCACAACTCTTAGGTTGATTATGCTACATAGTTTGAATCATATCCATGTTTTTTTCCTGGTGTAACCAGTTCCAAGTTACCAGTTCAATCATATCCATGTTTTTTTCCTGGTGTGCTATCACAAGTAACCAGTATACTGAATTTCTGTAAATTAATTCTATTTTGAGCCTTTGCATTCAATTTGTATGTCTTTAGATAAACTGCAATTGTTAAAGGTATCTGTGAGCAATTTCTGTCCCTCTCATTGCTCATACTTTAAATCCTTTTCAGCAGATCAGTAACCTGGTTAGTCAAGGAAACTTGTCTTTCATTCTTGTATGAGCTGGAGATCACCCTTGCCAAACATTGTGTGGTCTGTTTGTACGTTATATTTTAAAAAAGAAACAAACAATTAGGTGAGAATTATGCCAAAGGCAGGATGGCATGGTGTGTGTGTTAAATACCTTCCGGTGGGAGAAGCTGGTTACCGCGAATGCAGATTAGTATTAACTAGAATTTATTGGGCCAGGTAAGGTGTACTGAGCTTCATTACTAGGATTTCCTGTAAAGAATGTGTGTGTCTATAAATATATAATTTATATATACTTCTGAGTGAATTTGGAGATCTGTGTATTTGCACTAAATATCACAAAAGTCAACATTATGCTTGCAAATGCAGGAAAAACTGTGAAAGCCTTTTTTCTTAGATATTTCCCTTGAGGCTTTCAGGTCTGGAAAATAAAAATCATGTTTGTAAATTTTTGTATTTTAAGTGTATTTTAAGTGATTTAAGTAATTTTGAGTTTAATTATTTTTCTTTTCAGTTGCTCTGATTGGCTCATAAACATTTGCCGAAGAAAGAAAGAGCTGAAGGCTCGCACAGTGTGGCTTGGGTGTCCTGAAAAGTGTGAAGAAAAATATCCTAAAAATGCCATAAAAAATCAAAAATACAATGTCTTTACCTTTATACCTGGGGTAAGACTTCTGTCTTCATATTGTGCTGACTGTATGTTCCTTATGTTATTCTGGCAATTCTACAAAAAATACTATAGTTCTTCATATTCTTTAGTTTTTATGTGTTTATCTTGATGTCTGTTTAGTTAAAGCTGATAGTTGTGTGACTATCTTTGCAAGACTGCTTTTTTTCCCTAAAATTGTTGTAGCTTCCAAAGAGATTTTGCTAGAGAAGTGCAGTTTGTTTAACTTCGGTGTGTGTTTCAGTGAAGCTTTAGAATTTTCAGATATGTTTCCTTGCCCTTTTCTGTTCCTCACTAGAAATTTATAATCAATTTTGAAATGGAATCATTTCTATACAATCAGTCAAGAAAGTGCAATGAAGCATAGACTTTAAATGGGAGATAGTTGAAAACTCATGCTCTTGCACAAATGTTTTCTCATACTGCCATTGAAAGCACAATAAATGAGATGCTCCTAAGTAACCAAGTAACCTTTATTTTGGTTGGGGAATGAAATCTGATCAAATTTATATGGAGACTACTAAATTAGTCCTTACCCGTCCAATATTCTCCAGAGTTGTATTTCTTATTGCAGTTTTAAAAATAAAGTCTTTCTCCTTTTGAACACAACTCTTCAGCAGAGGTTTTTTTTGTTGTTGTGGGATAGTCATTTGTTATTTTTAATTCAAATGCAACTTTTATGACTTTGTTTTGTAATTTACAAATTGAGGAAAGTGCTGTTGAAGCTTCAGTGGTTAAATTAAAATGCAAATGTACACTTTTCTATTACAAATTTTAGTCAAACTTTTAATAATACCTTTCATGCATTTTGTCCTCTTGTGAAAACTGAATGTCTTCTGTGTTTGCATACAGATGTGCAGATGTGCTTTGCCTTTTTTATCTAAGTGATCCTGCAGGTTTATAGGAGTATTGATTCTATCCCTCTGGCCCCTTTGGTTGAGTGACTGGCAGATGCTTTCTAATACATGTCTTTATTAAAACACAGAAATTAATGGCTTGGTAATTAGGACTGATCTTCTGTCAAAGAAATAGAATGTCACTTATCACAGGCAGATAAAATATTCTCATCTCTATCGAACGAAGCAAATGTTTTCTTCTGAAATTTAAATTATTAAATACGCTGAAATTGGCTAAGCTGCATATGCCTTCCTAAAGGTCACAAAATTCATTAAGCATATAGTAAGCCATTGATTGGTTTGACTACAAATCCTAAACCAGATTCTTGTATTCCATGAGAATTGGCCATAGGTTGCAGTTAGCTGTTGGGAAGGAATGTTTGTTCATTTTTGGTCCCTTTTGAGAACCTTATTATGACTGTATAGGCAGAACTGGCTTTTTATTTCTGGTGATAGCATCTGGAAAATTAGTTGCAACTGCAAAATGAATTGGTGTCCTGAACCTAAAACATAGAGAGGAGCAAACCAGGTGCTGAAAATGATACTTCCAGCTTTCTAATTTAGACACAGAATTAGTACATTTCATTGATTGGAAGTACTGTGTATCTATCTGTTTTTATGCTAATCCACTACAATTAATTTTTAGGGACTTAGTTATATCGGATTCAACCGCATAGTTGTAAATAAGGGATAAATGTTGGCCACAGTGAGTTAGCTGGGTGGAAATATTCATAATGTGAAGATGTGTCTAGTATTTACAGTTGGTGTTGGTGGTTGATTTGTTTTTGTTAATGCTCCAGTGGGCATTTTGGATGCTCCATTTGGATGCACCAATGCTCCATTTCTGTACTGAAGCAGAAGCGTGGGAGAATCTTTAGCATCTACCTACTGGCTAAGAACTGCGATATTTTCAATATGTAATATAATTGTCTTTCAAGTACATAACATTTATTATTTCTGCCTTTACTCTGGTTTGCTCAAATTTGGTTTATGATTTGATTTTTATCTTACCAAGACCTACAGCTGCTTGAAAATTTAGTGTAAAGTTTAGTAAATAAAGACTTTCTTCTGTCAAGGGCAATTTTTTGGAAGATACTTTCCCACTTTAAAGCAGTATCCCATGGATGTGGGGAGGGGAGATTTTTTTGTTTCTTTTTTTTACAGTATTTTTGTTTTGTTTCGTTTGATCCGTTTGCTGAGACTGGGGACTTTTCAATGTGCTTAACTAGAGTGCAGCGCTCGGCTTGTAATGAGGGGACTGCCTATGCTCTGGCAGCCTTTAGACGATTTGTAGGGAAGTGCTTTTTGCCTCCAGCCTCTCTAAGGTGTCTTGCATGTGTGCACCTCTCAAAGTACTCTGTACTTCAGGTGCTTTGAAATTAAATTTCCTGTATATTTTTTGAAGTTTTTACTTAATCATTTTGGATATGCAAAAGCAACCAAAAAAATCATTTAACTTGGAATTTCATGCAGAATTCACTGTGAGATCAACTGAGTTGTAAGACTGAAAGATGGCAGTGCCCGTTGAATGTAGCTTTCTTGATCGTTTTTGAATCTTTGAGCTTTGAAACAATTATCATTCATTGTCTCGGATAATGAAGGCTCAGTTTGGCAACAGTGTGTTAGGTTCAGTGTCCACTTCCAATTATGCTAGAGGTGTTGTTGTACTGACCTATGAAAGAGGACATAAATGAATGTTTTTAAGATTTAAAACTCTTTAAAATGAAGAATTTGTTTGGAGCTATTTAAATGTGACAAAAACAGTGTTGAGAACACATGTTTTCCAAGCTGGTGCCTTTAGTTAATGAAAGAACCTGGCTGTCTGGTAAGTTGTCAGAAGCTTCTGTCACTGGTTTGGAATATAGGACAACTGATTTGATGATAAGGATACCTGATCTTTGCTTGAAATTTGAACACTCAGTTTAGACTAACCCTTTCATTCATTAATGAACACAGCCTATGAATCGGCATTTATTACAAAAAGGATAAACTTGATATCTAGTAGTGAGCCTGCCTTTCTTTGGAATTATTTCAAAGTCCATATAATCCCATTATTAAGTTTTTAGGGGTTTTTTATTGTTGTTAGTAGTTTAGACATGGTGAAAACTTAAACCGTGGTTGCTTTTGTACAAGTTTGTCTTGCTGTAGGTAGCAAAGAATTCTGCCTTATTTCTGGGAATGGCAGGGAGCTTTGCTGGGACGTTCTTCTTCCTAAACAAAGTTTAGCCTTAATCTTGAAGGCTAAACACTTTCCCTGGTTTTAAAATGTCTAAAGATAAATTCTGCCAATTGCTTTTTTTTTTCAGATGGAAAAAAAGATGCATCAGGATTTTCTCAACAAAAATAGCAGTATAACATTAAGAATAGTAGTTTAGCATATTGTATTTCAAATTGCAATATATAATACTGTAATGGTACTGTACATTATAGTGTGCCATATAAGGGATTGATATTTACTATTATGCCAACCAATATCATGTAACGGGTGATGTAAATTTTAAGACACTTAACTACTTTGTGTTTCTTTTTTTTTTTTTTCATTTTAGGTTTTATATGAACAGTTCAAGTTTTTCTTGAATCTCTATTTTCTCGTCGTGTCCTGCTCACAGTTTGTGCCAGCATTGAAAATAGGCTACCTGTACACATACTGGGCACCTCTGGTAAACAGCAAAATATTATTAACTAGAATGCGTGCAATTTAGGGAAACAGATGCTTCGATTTCTAAATATATTAAGCGTGTTATTTTTTTAGTAGTATTTATTCTCAATGGTAATTTAAATGGTACTTCCTGAAGAGGAACAGTGGTGCTCTGGCTGCTTTCTTTACAACGAGAAAAGGTCGTTGTTAACAAGTCAATAAAGTAAATATTTTGGGTTGAATTCATTGTTTGAATTGTTGCGCCATGTATCCTTCTAAGTATTGATAAATAGAGAGGTTGTCCTGGAGATTTTTCTTCACAGCTTTATCTCCAGATAAGTTTTCACTTCTGCTTTCTGAAACAAATAAAACCAGAATTCAGAGCACAGGAATTTGAAAATAATATTTCCACTTTTTTTTTTTATCACTCCACCACTAGGGAAAGGTCTACCTTGTCTGCAATTCAGTCTCTTCACAGTGAGCTGCTGTGTAGGGCTCTGAACTTCAGTGAGATTAAAAGGAGGAAATCATTTGACATGATTGTCTAGCTTGTCTTTTCCATACCAAAAAAAGGGAGGAAGAAGGCAACACTATATTTGCTGAACTTTGACTATCTGTTGTGTATAGACTTGTGGTCCTTATTCAAGGGATAAGTAGATTTTTCTCTTGAAATTGCAACTGCATACTGGTTAAATCCCATTTTTGCAAAATGTATCAGTTAGTTTCCACTTCAGTATTTTTTTCTACTGAGCTTCAGTTGAAAAAAAATTGTTCAGCAAGATACATAAAACTGACACAATAGAAACTGACTGTGTGCTAAAAGTGTTTGTTTTACTTAAAAGATATAACGTGCTTTAAACAAACACCTGAGTTCTTCCCACACAACTGTATTTTACTGCTTTGTTGTCATTTGCACAATAGAGAATGACACTCTCATTTCTTTTGAGTCTAAGATCTAGAAAGAGTAAAGGATGTGAGTTTGGTTATAAGCAGTACCATAAAGATCTTGAACTTCTTTTGGTTAAAGAAAGACGAGACAATGAGTCTCTTGCAACTTTGGTTTTGCAGTTATAGCTTCTTTTTGGAAGAGTATCAAGTTCTTCTGAGAAAGAGGCAAAAATGTTTCTGTAATAACTCCTTGCAGTCATCTTCAGAAGTAATAAACTGTCCAGTAGAGAATGGTGAATGCTAGGGGAAATTCTTAAAATTAACATATTATTTTGATCACTGCCCAGTGAGATACGTGTAAATGGCAAGTATATTTCAGATTGTTTTAATAGTGCCCTTTTTATGTTGCTAAAATATTTGTATTGCCGCAGCTCTTGAAAATGACGTAAAATGCTACTGCCAGAAAAGGGAGAAACCTCACTGCTTTAAAGTATAGAGGCAGCATTTAGAGGCGTTGGCATAACAGCCATTCAGAATGATGCTGCCTTAAGGTGTCCAGGGAAAATGAGGAAAGACATTTTTATAAAATTTCTACACAGCGTTTATTCGGAGTGAGGCAGTGGGTCAATCCTATTGAAGCTAGAATGCTTTTCATAATATAATCGACCAGTTTTGTAAAATAATTGCGTGTCTCTGAGTGTCGAGGGTAGAGTTCTGAGGCAGAACTGTCTGAAACTGCCACTAAGTCATAGAGCTTGAAATTAAGGCCTAAAACCTGGATTTAAGTAACATTAACATGAGTTAGAGAATTGAGTTATGCTCTAGCGGTAAGTAGGAATGCCTTTTTGTAAAGGCACTTTGTTTTCTGTAGTTCTTGTTTAAATAACGAGATTAAATTAAATAAAATAATTTACCTGGAAGGTCTTAACAGATGAAGTCTCAAAATTTTGGGCTGGCACTGCAGAACAGGTGCTCTTGCTGTAAAATCATCAAGCAAAAATTCCTTAGTCTAGAGTCTCTTTTAGGGAAGCTCCAAGCTTTGAGTCATTTCTCTTTGCTGAGCGGGCAAATTGGTTATTGAGTCTTCATCCATGGAGCTGAATACAAGCCACATGAATACAATTCTGGGCAACGTGCTCTAGGTCACACCCTGCTGCAACAGGGAGTTGGACTAGGTGATTTCCAGAGGTTCCTTCCAACCTCAACCATTCTGTGATTTTTGTGAAATATTGTTGGATGTCTGCAAGAAAAGTAATGGCTTCAATTTTCCCCTACAAAAGGAGATGTGGGTTTAGGGTTAGAGTGTATATAAAACTGGATAGCTATTCTAGAACCTTATCTGTTGAACAATTTTATGTATCTGTTTTTATTATTTGAAAACTTTAGAGGGAGGAGAACTTGTTTGGCAATTAGTGATAAATTACTGTTGGGAAATTCTGTAATCCTTTCATTGATGGAGAAGGGCAATGCTTGCAGTTAATAATATAGAAGACCATGTCTGAGCAAGAATTATGTAGCTAAGCTCTGCACTCCCAGTCGAAGCTGCACTGACACAGTCCTGTGCAAGTTGTAGCCAAAGCGCCAAAAGGTTTGCGGCTTTGTCAATATTTATGGCATGCTGGTTTAAAAAAAAAAAAAAACACCACAACAACAAAAAACTATAATTAAGATGGAAAAATTGATTAAACTTATCATCTGTGTACTATCTCGGTTCTGCTATGTAAAAAGGCAGTGAACTTTTAAACTTAGAATATGAGTTTTTGAAAGTGTTTGCAGTAGAGCCCGCAGATTTTTGAAGGATGGAGAAATAAGCTTCTAGAACTGTAAAAGCTGTCTATAGCTCACGTTAAGTATTTTAAGTTTTAAATTGTGTCTAAATTAATTGAAGATATTGAGATTACCGCTGCCTACAATACAGAGATTTCTGTTTTTCCTCTCCTGGACTGAATCAGGATAGTAATTTAACAGAGATTGAGGGGTGGGAGAGAAATGACCCCCAAAATAAACAATATGTGTTTTTTTTTTTTCTTTTTTTTTCTTTTTTTTTTTAAACTGTGTATTGTGCATTTACTTATTTTTTGTTTAAATAGTATTTTGAGACATCTGAATTGCATCATTTTATCTTTACCAGGGGTTTGTTTTGACGGTCACAGTGGTACGGGAAGCAGTTGATGAATTTCGACGTTACAAGAGAGACAAAGAAATGAACTCACAGTTATATAGCAAGCTGACAGTACGAGGTTAGCAAAAACATCTGTATAAAACCTGAAAATATTTGATTTCTATTTTTAATGTATACTTACAGGCTTTTGGTTCAAAGAAATAGCTAATAGACTCAACTTCACTCTACTGAAGTGTTTAGTTTCCCTTGGCTAAATAAGAAGTGTAAGTTTCTCAGTTTAAGCAGTCTTGTAAACCTGTTATTGTTTGTACAAAGATGAAATGTGTGTGTATAGAATATATATTTTTAAAGTATTTAGTAGTAGCACTTTAAAGTGCAGTTCTTCTCTGAAATTGGTATAGCACAGTAACTTGGCAACTATCAACTATACTTTGTATATAGGTAATAAAGGATCAGTAATTCAGAAATATGATCTAATTAAAATTCATGGCAACTTTTCAGTATTAATAAAAGTTGGGATATAAGCTTGTTGTGAGTCAACCTCAGTATCAGATACGTTGTTTTTAATTTTGCAGTAATTTGAAACCTGTATGATTCCATAATGGGAACAGAATGCTTTTAGTTTTTCTTTCCAGATAATTAATTAGAAAAAAAGAAACTCCCTAGGTGTAACTTCTTAGACTCTTGGAAAGTCTCTGACATTTTCCTATAGTCTGTTAAAGACATAAAGCATTTGAAGAGTCAATTTTTGTAGGATTGATAAGTTTTAAACATGCACTTAAGAGGAAAAAATGATACATTCGGCTCTACTGTTATATTGCTTAGCACATTTTTATTTTCAGAACAAAGTGCCACACAGAGAAATGCTAAAAAATAACAGACATTTTATTATCAAGATGAATTGTAATAATTTTACAAAAGATGACTAGATTACTCTTGCCCTCATAAGTTACTTCGCTACAATGCTACTGAAAGTCACTGTTAGTGTCTTTTATTGGCATAAGATGAATAATAATTCTAGAGAGTATGAAGATGTTTATTAATGTGCAATTGTATGTCTCGGGACATATGGCATATGGTATGCCAAATATAAATTTTATTCACCAATGCCAACATACATTTCACGTATGTATTGGTGAATTTTATTTGAGAGTCAGAGAGGAGAAGAGTAACCTCACTGCATCTAGGAGTCTTAATGAGCAACCGAACTCCTAAAGTATCTCTAGATTGCTGCCTCCAGGATTAACCCCTCCGGGGTTAACAGCTAATGTTAGGGGTGCATTTGGTCTGAAATCTGGGAGGGATAAAAACAGCTCCCTTCACTGTTTCTTATAGCACTATGAATACTTATGTTGCCTTCTGGAATGTAGATACATCGGGGAGCAAATGTAGGGAACATGTGTGCTGTTCTTCCCTTCCTTATCTGCATGGAGTAGATTTTCCAACATTTAGACATACCACTCTGGAAATTGGCAAATGGGAGAGTTATCATTTGCTTAACACAAGTGATTGCATTGCTGACCTGCAGATCCTCGCAGTGTTAATATAGTCTGTAAAGAGCTAGACTGCTAGACTTGGGCCTTTATTTTCAAAGCTATAATGCTATCTGCTGGTTGACTTATTAATTATTTAGATCTGTTATCATATGACACAAGCACCTTTGAAAAAGATAGTATAATCATTTCCCGTTGAGCAGTAGTGTTAGTAATGTGAAATTCTTAGTTCAGGAAGAAAATATATAGTGTATACAGGAATCTATGGTCTCCTCTTTCCTAGCTTTATATTTGTATAGTAATATTTTCATTAGGATATGCATATCTGAAAGTTTTTTGCTTTTTTAGCTTTGAAAAGAAATATGCAAGCTATCATATTAAAATTAGATTTTTGTCAACTTGATACTACTGTTTTCCTAGATATGGAGTATAGATTTTAAAAGAGCATATGTGTAAGTCCCAGCAGTGGTATCAGAAATTGACCGGAACCTGTACAGCAGTGACTTCTTAAGAGAAGCTTTTCTTAAAACAAGCAAACAAAAAAACACTTTAAGAAAGAGGGGGAGGTGGCTTTAAAATGTGGATAGTCAGTTGTAGTCAGTTTTTAGCCAGAAATGTGTACAGCTACTTACTTTTTCTTTTTTGTGTGTGTCAGTGCTATAGTGAAATCATGTGTGTTTGTTTTTGAAGGCAGTGATAATCTACAGAACTCAAGTTTCAAGATCACTGCTTAAAGTGAAGTTGGAGTTACTAGGGTGTGATGACTGAGATAGTATTTTGTGTTGTGACCACTTTTAATAATGAAAACATTATCGCAGTCAACACTCAATACTAAAATTGGCTGAAAATACCTATAATAGAATATAGAATAAAGAATAGAATGGAATGAATTTTTGTGATCTTTCGTAGTAAAGGATTCTAAAACTGAAAGACCTCGTTTTGAAACAGAGTGAGAGTTATTATTACGATAAAGTTAGACCATGGCTTTTAGAGGATTTGAGAATTTAGAAGTTCATATAGCAAATAAAATAATTCACTTTTAACCCTTGGCAAACTGTTTTCATAAATAACTTCAATTTATAACTTACCATATTTTTAGCACTGACAGTATTCTCTTCAAGTGGAAAAATTCAGTTTGACTTACTATACAAAGTTGCAGGCTCCTGGTTTGGAGAAAGAAGTCTTTGTTACTTGTGAATGAACAAACTTGATACTGATTTAATTAAAAGCCTGAAAATCAATGCTATTCTTGAGAGGCACTTTTCAGAGCAGAACTGCACTTTATACCTATGTCGCATCTTTCTTTTTTCTCTAGTGATTTTATGACTCGCATAGGTTTTGCAGTCTTTTCTTTGAAGTAAAGATGGAAAAACTGACATACAGAGAGGTTAAGCAGGTTGCCTTTGCTCAGATGAGGTGGTAGGAAAACTAAAAGCTATGAATATTCAATGTTACCCTTAGTTTAATTGTAGCATTTAAATTCTCATTTTTATCTTATGTAATCACTTCTTGTTAGTTGTTTTGCAAAATTGTTTGCTATGGGGATTCTGCAATTGGGTATTTACAGCAAAGAACCAACAGTGATTTTTAAATTGTGGATAATTACTTGTATAATGTGGGTGGGCTGATTCATAACTTATAATCTTTTTATGTATAGTGCTGAAATAGATTAAAATCAGGGAATATTTTTGCAATCAACACTCAAAAATAAGCACTACTAAATTGTTGTAAATGCCTGTGTAAAATAAAGAATAGATTACCTAGCAGTGTTGTCTTTCTAAAGTCCTTCTCAGTTTAAGGTGCCCTCGAACAGGTACAGTAGGTGAATGGTGTTTATGACCTGCATGTGGCCAGTGTAAGAAGTACCAGCTCTTTGAGGATGGTGGTCTCCCAGTGAAAACCCTTGAAATCTTAGATTTTCCTTTTAATAAGATAAAACCTTGAATGAATTTTTGCCCTAATAAGTAAATCTCTTTTATATATAATTACCAGCTGTTCTGAGTAGAAAATCAGGGGAGTTTTTCCTTCAGCTTTGTGTCACTTAATTTCACTTTAAGCAGCAGCGCCCAACCTTATGTCAGCAGACTGATTCTGATCCATGGCGTGTCCAGTGATATACAATTTTCTACTTGTCATGTAACATGGAAAAAATCAGTTTTCAATCACTCTCTGATTGATTTTGCTGTGCGTAACTTTGCACTTGTCAAGAAGGTGGACCTGCTGAATGTTAGGTCTGAATGGTGCTCTTTTTCAACCCTTTGGGGCAAGTGATGAAATCTGCCATTCAGTAAATAAGAAGTTAAATGAGGAGAGCAGTGGATGGTGTCTGCCGTGACTTCTGTAAGGCTTTTGACACCGTCTCCTGTAACATCCTCATAGGCAATTTGAGAAGTAAAGGATGAGACGAGCAGTGAGGTGCCTTGAGAACTGGCTGACTGGCAGAGCTCAGAGGGTTGTCCTCAGCAATGCGCAGTCTAGTGGGAGGCCTGTAGCTAGAAGTGCCCCCAGGATTCAGTACGGGGTCCAGTGTTGTTCAATTTACTCGTCAGTGACCTGGATGAAGGGAGAGAGGACCCCCTCGGCACGTGTGCTTCCCTTCCAAACTCAACCATGCTGTGAGCAGTGTGGAATGTTTCCTGAGCAAGATGCTTGAGAGCACCTGCCTCCTTTGTCACGTCTTGCTTTCGTAGATGGCGGTAGTGAATCTCTTAACTTGCTCAGTGGGTGATGTACTCTGCTCTCCTAACTGTTTTATCAAGATGTTTGATGCAAAGTCTGTTTCTCTTGTGCCTCATGGGGTCTGCAAAACCTTAATGGGCAGCTTTTAGTCAGGATGCAGGTTAAAGCTGGAGGGAGGGAGGATATCTGTCTGTAGGATTAAAATGATCTAGCTATTAAAGACCCCATGAATTTTTTTGCCTCTTCATCTTCAGAGCAGCTCACCTGCATATCCTGTTCATAGCACAGAACCTGCAAGGCAAAATTACTTTTGAAGCAGAGCCAGCATGTGTTCATTCTTTTCATTTGCTTGGATTCTCCAGGAGTCTTAGTACTTCTGGAGCAGCTTCTAGGCTTATGATCTTAGGTGTCACCAGTTAAGTGCCTCCAAAAAGCACTGGTTGATAGATAACTCTAGATGATGAAGAGGTTAATTTTGTTGTCTCTTAAACCAAACTGCCAAAAGCCCAATGGATAGTCAAGCTGTAAAAAATTTTTTTCCTCCTTATTTCTTAAGTTTGCAACGCAGCTTCCACTATACCTTTACTAGTTAGGTTTGTTCATGCACAGCTCTGCTTCAAAGCAGAAGGTTCGAGAAGTAAACAAATCTAATAGTCAGTACTATGAAGCTCAGAAAAGACATACATCTATCCTTATGTCTCAATTTTTAAGGCAATTTTTAAGATAAGAAACTGTGCAATACCAAGTGAAACAGGAAGTTACTATTCTCTCAGGAGTTGCACTTGCATATTAGTTTAAAAAAAAAAAGGGAGAGGAAGGAACAAAAGTATTTTCTGATATACTGCATATTCGCACTTTACCTCATTTCTTAAGGTTTTTATGCAAAAAATTTGTTAGCACATGCAATATTTATTAGTTTTTGAAATGATTTCAGTTCACTTCAGAAGCCTTTATCTTGTGAATTACTATATAATGAATTACTATAGACACATTTGAGTGTTCTATTTCTGCATAATTCTGTATGTTGCTTTAGGCAAGAGCCTTGCGCCTTGGTGGACTATAAAGTCTGGATGCGCAGCCATTTCTGACAGCTTTGGACTTTTTATTGGTAATTACACAGATGGTGAAAAGTGTTTTTCTTTTGAGATTTTTTTAGAGAAAAAATAGTTTACAAAAATAATTTGTGCAGTGAGTAACATTCAATGTTTTTTGCCTTCTATTTTGCATCTTCACTGAGACACAGTATTGCATTATTTTAATGTTCTCCGAAATGGTATCTAATGATTCTCATTTTTGCTAGACTAAAGAAAAGTGGTGCTCGTTGACATTCCAAAGTTTTAAACTACTTTTTGAATTGCTGGCATATTTTACTCTTTATTTTCTAATGAGATGTGTCCTGTTTACCATTCAGATTCATTGTAGAATTAATTATATTGTCTGTCACAGGAAAACTTTTGCAAACTTTCTTAAACTCTGTCCAGAAAAAGATATTACTGAACTTCACCATGTTAAGGAAGGAAATACAGGATGTTCCAACAAAGTATGTTTTATGTGGTAGTGAAGGTTTGGTTGGCGCTAGGCTAATTTGGGGTTAAGCTAAGTCACATGGAAAGCAAGTGGATGGCTTGAAATGTGATGCTCTCACAATTCCTAGGGTTACTGGGCTAAGTGTAAGCAAAGATGTGGTACAGACTCCAGACTTTACACCAATCTTTGGCTTTTCTATTCCTTGCACAGTGTCACAAATGAGGGTTTAGGCTCTCATGAAAAATGAGGCTTAGTGACTTTTGACCCTTACTAGAGTCACTTGAACGTAACTCTGGAGAATTCCGTAGTTTAGATGAGTAAAATTGTTAGTAGTGGCATTCGATTAGTATCTCTAGATGGTTTTGGTCATAAGTGACTGTAAGTGGCATAGATCTGAGACTGTTCACACAGGGGCCACTTAAATTTCTGTGACTATCATTATAATCAGTTGATTGACTCTGTCACAGAGACAGATAAAATGATGGAAATTGTGGGAAAGGAGTGGAAAGGAAAAGAAAATGCTGTGCTTCTGAGAAAGCTTACAGATTTGGAAAACAAAGTAAACATTGCAGTGTTGCAGTATATACTACTCACTTCTAGTCTAAACTTGGATTTAAGAAGAGAATTTACGTGCGAGTGCAGTTAAGCAAACGTATATTGATTCAATGTCAGACTGTTCTTTTAGTGGCTGACTTTTTTTTTTCTTTGTGCTATTTTTTTTCAGATAAAAAAAAAAGGTAGGTACTAACTTAATTTCCATCATAATTATCTTGAAATTCCTCTAGAGCAATGCGGGCATTTCTTGCAAGTGTGTTTTGCCCAAGTCTTCTGTTACAGTGTTCTCAGACCTTGCTAGGGTCTTTTCTCTTATACCCAAATGAGGAGTTGTAGGCTCGAGAGCCTGGGTGAAGATAAGATTTATCTTTCTTTTCAAAGGAGGGGAAGGGTTAGGCAACTGAAATCTCAAACTGATATGAAAGAGCGTTGCCAAGAACGAAGACTGGCCTTCAGAAAAAATCGCACAGTCAGGCCAAGCCAAAGTTCTGATTCTTCTCTGACACGCTTCCTACGTTTTGGAAGTGCTAATGTCATGGAAAACGTAATAAAAATTTGTTGCATGAATGCACTTATTAACTAGAGTGAATTAAACTTAAAACAACTGTTCTGTTTGCATTAAATACATTATTTGAAGAGCAAAAAAACGTAATCAAAATCTCACCTCTTTTCTTATACTTACATTTATTTTTAGTCAGTAAGATCCTGTCAACTGCCTGATTCCTTTTCACTGAGAGTTCAAATAAGGAGAGCTTGTTAATTTGGAATCTATTTTAGTTTTGTTTTTATAGTTAGTACAATTTTGAGAAATAAAATAATATGCAGTATCAGTCTGCTATTTATAATGCCTCTGATTAACCTGCTAATCAATGGAGGGATTGTATGTGGGTCTTTTGTTCTGATTCTTTTTGTCTTTATTTTGACCTCTAATAATTTACCATGTTTTGGCAGTTACCTAACCTGCTGTTCAGATACTTGCTGATGAAAATCATGACAGTGCTTCTGATGAGGAAGAACGGGTTTTGTTTTGTGACATATATTTCAGATTGTGTAATTATTTCAGACTGTGTAAAAATGCATATGTTCATATCTTTAGTTAAATATGAGTTTACCACTTGTTATATTTTGAAAAGGGATATTAGTACGCCATGACTTTGTAGTTTCTGTCTGTGTAAGGTGTGGGGTTTTTTGTTTTGTTTTTTAACTTGAGGAAGCAATATTTTGGGGGGGAGTTTTAGCAAGTTCCTGGGACTAGATTTCCTAAATTGTAATGAGACCAAAAATAACTAATTTCTGTCACCTTCAGCAGAAGCTTGACCTCTCTGTCTCAGTTTTTAAATCCCTCAAATAGCAATATTAAAACTTACCTGTCTACCAAGCATATAGAATTTAGATGCATACATGTGTGCTGTGTATGTTTTCAAATATGAGTTCACAGCAGTTACTGAATGGGCAGCTCTAGAAAGCTATCTGAAATGAAACCTCCTGCTCTTTCTTTTAAGTGCAGTGAGTAGCTAACTCTTATGCAGTGATTGCCAGGAGGTGTCAGTCAGTGCCAATTACATTAGTAACTTGCTGTGACCGAATAAAACTACCTGTTGGTAACTGGGCTGTGACTAACAACTCATGTCTGTTAGAGCACTCTGGGACAGCAAGCAGAACAACTTTTGACTATTGAGAATTAGAAGGGCTGCCTCCGTATGAAAGACTCCTTACATTCTAAAATTGTTATAGGTCGGACTCTATCCTCCTTTGTATGCTTTTATCCTGCTTCTACAGGAAGCAGTGTTACAAAAAAAACTTTTTGAACTGTTGAAATATTTATTCAGATGACAGCTATTTATTAATATGCTCTTCCAAAATCTGTTTGTATAAATTGTAATATTTTCACCAAACAATAACACCTGTAAATATAACTTATATTCTCAGATTTATTTCTGTGGCTATAAATGTCTGCCTAAGTTGATTACATTTTTCTTTTTTTTCTGTTTGTTTTAAGGTAAAGTCCAAGTTAAGAGTTCTGACATACAAGTTGGAGACCTCATCATAGTGGAAAAGGTTGATGCTTTTTAAATATACTTTAGAGACTAGATTATTAACGTGGTAAATATTCAATATACTTTTCTTTGTAAGATACTGTGACTTCTTCTGTGAATACTTATCTGTGAAGTACTTAACAGTGTATTAGTTCAGTTTTATTTCAGAATCTTCAAAGAAGCTTATTTCTTTTTGGATTTAATTATAAGCCTAATTGAATGTAACTAGATTTTACCAATTGATATATGCTTGAATTTATGTAACAAACGGAATAATACAGTTCCTGAATGAAATTCACTGGCTTTTGCTGTGGTAGGTGTTCTAAGCTGTCTGATTTTCTTTTTTTCTGATGTTCACATATATGCTTTTCTATGAAGACTTCAATGAGAGGTTATATTAAAAAAAAAAAAAAAAAAAAAAAGGCTTTTTTAATTTGTCTGATCAAAGATGTTGAGCGAGAGCTGTGAGCTTTCTCTTTTCTTCTGTTATTAGTATTGTAACAAAAAGTATGTTTCCTATTGTAGTTGCTTTTGGTAAATGATTCTGGGAAAAATTACCTATCACGTGTAAATTCAAACTCTGTTTTTGGTCTCATAATAGGAAAAATATTTGTTCTAGATGTGCAGTTTTTATTCCATTCAATTTACATAACTTAGCAAACAAGAAAGCTATTGAGACCTTGAAAGTCAACTTACATTTTGTGTTAGAGGAAGCTATTTATGTACAAGTTAATTCTGGAAAGTTAACTAACTTTCTAGATGTGAACAAGTAATTCCCATCATGTTTTATATCAACAGTCAAGCCCTTGAAATACTAGAAAGAGGTATCTCAAGTTGAAACTCGTATCTGCTACTTTATTTGAGGTATTGTATGGCAAGTTTCAGTCTGGTAGAAGAGTCCTTAATGAAACCTAATTAGTGACTAGACAACTAGTGGGATTTACTCCTGTTTCCTGAATTAGCAGAGTAAATTACTTTTGCTAATGGATAGATATGTCAGCAAAAATGCTCTGTTGATCTATCTAATGCTTCTTGCTAACACTGTTACTCCTTCTTTGGTATTTGACTCATTTGCTCATTATTTCTTTTTTTCTCGTATAGTTATAAGAAAAAAGAAATCTTACTTGGTTCGCTGCTCTTAACATAATGTAGATTTATTTGAGTATGTCTTGTACTATTTATTGTTCTTGTCTCTTTTCTACTGCCTATGTAGATACATTTTTGGGCTACAAGATATCCAAGTGTAGATAAGATTACCACTTGCGTCCAGCCTCTGCACTTGTCTTACACCTTGCTGCCTTGGAGTAAAGGTGGAGTAAAGGTGGAGGTAAAGGAGTAAAGGAGCTAGTTTACAGCTGCTCAGTTACACCCTTTCCATGTCTTCTAGGAGACTGAGAATAAACAAGCAAGATGCCAGTTGACTTTGATTTTAACTAGAAAATTTCTTAGGGCTTTGGTAATCTCCAGACCTGGAACTAATTATTGTATATGCTATAGGGAAGACTCTAGTGGCTACACAGGTAATCTGCCTTCCACTGAAATTTACGGAAAACCATTAGCTGGTGAATTATGCTAGAACTGAGAAAGTTGGAATTACTTTGGGGATCAATCTGTCTTGTACAAGGTAGATAATTAGCATCTATTTCAGCTTTATTTACAGCAGCTTACAGATAATACCTTGAGTAGCTGAATTTTCTATTAAAAATGTTAAAAATTTAGAGAATTAGTGTGTAAAATTCTTTTTGATGAAGACTTTACACAAGTATGTCAGTAAGATGTGATGCATGTGAGATAACTGAATGCTGCATTTCACCCTCCAGCTCCTTTTCCACCCTGCCCCACACCTTATCTTTATCAAGGCACTGTAAGTGCCTTCAGATTAATGAAATTAAATGTTTTCCTGTTGTATTGAGAAGTGTATTTTGTTGAAATAAGCAGTTTTAAATTTCGGAGTGTGACTTTTAAGCCAAAGAACCATTGGGGAGTGAAGTGTTCAATTGCTCACTCTAATGGCAAAAGAACAAGTTAACATTGTATTTGACTGGGAAGTGCATCAACAGCATTTCCACAGTGAAATTAATGTCTCATTTGAGATGAAGATCTGTCTGTTGACTACGTTAATAGGGACTGCTCACAAATACTAATAACTTGAGTTAAATTTTTTTCTATGTTTAATCCTTGAATGTCCTCTGATTTTTATAGGCCTGCTTAATTGCAGAACAGCTCTAAGTGTCTACAGAGCAGCTGAAACAGTTTCTCTGTGAATAATATATCTGTTGTTTCCTTAATTGACAAGTTGCTAATGCCCTAACACTAAGGTAGGGAAATGGGCAAGTAGAAGGAAATACTACTCATTTTCAAAAGTCAAAATATGTTTGTAAGTGTAAGCTGGAAATCACCTCTTCCTTCCCGCTCCCGCTCCCGCTCTCCCAGCATACGTGCTGCTTTCTAGCTGCTTGTTCTCCTTGGATTTTGTTATGGTATGGCTTTGTTTACTGGGGGGTTCATAAGTGACAGGTGTGTGTAGTGTTTCTTACTAAGGTAATTGAAGGGATCAGTTCAGGAATTGAGATACCGTAATTTAGTCACTACAGCTTATTGATGATTTAAAACATCTCTGGAAGATGTGAAGAGTGTTAAAATAAATAATAATAATAATAAAAAAAAACAGGAAAAGATTTAAGGGCAGGCAGGACAGTAATGCTTTATCTTCATATATGTAGAACTTCTCTTGGATAGCAGTATGAGGCCAAACTATTTTTAAATCTCAAACATGAAGTGAAAGCGAACCAATATTTGTAAGGTGTGTGATGATTATTATTAAGTTGCAGTATTGCACTGTATGCAGGCACAAGAAAATTGAACTGTGAACTGCATTTTCAATTTCCAACTTGCAAGCCAGCAAGAATATTTCAGTCAATGAGAACAATGCATGGTTTGCTATACGTGGCAAAGGAAAGGACAGGAAATGCAAAGCGTTGAGGGAATAGGGAATTGGGAGGAATTTATGTAAAGAAAGATTTCATCGTAATACCATAAGGGAAATGAAAAAGTAATTCCGTAGTTTAAGTGAATCGTTGTTCACTTAATGTAGCCAGTATACAGGGAAATATAAATATATCTGAGGCTTAATATTTATGAGTTATCTTGCTTTTCAAACTGGCCAGTTTAGGTAGTATGCTTTGCTAGCATGGATCTTATCATGGGAAGCCAGAAGTTAGGGGAATATCGCTCGTGTTGACCATCATTTCTGTAGTTAGATCTCTAGAAATAAGTTTGTAAGTCTGCCACATAGTCAAGCAGTGAGAATGAAAGTGCTTCTTCCCTGGAGTCTAATTCTACTTGGACGTAACTCAAGCAAAGCAATATATTCAAGCTATTTTCATGACTTATATATTCAAATTTCAGTGTGTATCAATAAACTTCTAGCTTCATCTCTGTGTTAATTGCCATCACAGAGTTTGTTCATGGGTTTCTGAGTGTTCAAAGTTGTGTACGTTATCATTTTAACTTGTTCCACTTTGATAAATATGGCATGAGAGGAGTAACATGATTGACATATTACTGCTGTTCCTCTGTGACAATGTACAATAGAACTTTATTTTCTTCATAATGAGGTGCTAAAGACTTTGGTGGCACACTTGCCATCTGTTTGTGTGTAGTCACTCTTCTATAATGATGAGGTATCAGATCCTATATCTTTACAAGGGAATCTCTGCTCTGCAGTGTCAGCAGCAATAGTGACAAAGCTTTTGTGCTGTCTAGCACTTCTGCAGCACCTCTGCCTACTTCCAAAATATGGAAAACCTGATGAAGAAAGAAGTGTCCATCTAAAATACTGGTCTCCTTTCCTTAAAGAAATACTGTTGACATTCAGACAAGCCTATGTGGGTTTTGATTCCTCCCCAAGTTGTTTTTTTTTTTTTTTTTTTTTTTTTTTTTTTTTTTATCATAGCTGTTTACTCATGGTGTCATCTAGGCTTTTGCCCACATTCCCCTTGATCTAAGTAGGTTCAGGGCTGTTGAATGTGCTGAACTTGAGGAACAAGTGTGTGCGTGTGAGCGTACACCCACACTTCTTTTATAGTTTATACACACACATATATACATAGTAATTTCATGAAAATGCTCGATTCTGAGCCCATTATACCTCTCTGATAACTGACTTCTCAGGGTTACTAGAAAGATTTATTTTTTCTGTTTGATGCAGTGAATCAAAGTACTTGCTGAATTTTGAATTTTTTACACTAGACATTTTATTAGTATCTTGGATAAAAGTTTTCAGGATAGTTTAGTCCCATCTTCATTGCTATTTCTTATACATAAAATAAAAATAGCTAGGCAGCTTACTAAGCTGGTAGCTTATCTACAAAATAGAGCCAGAACTGAATTATTATAACTATATTTTGCCATTTAATGTTAAACTGTGAAATGTGGAACAGTCGTATAAGTCTTGAAAGGCTCATATGCTGAATGTTTCTTTTTTATTTTGGCTAGTAAACTCAGATTTATTTTAAGGCCGAACCTCATGAGGTAGACATATGCTATGTGTTGGGCTTGATATGCCGTGTGTGTGTGTGTATATTTTTTTTCTCTTTTCCACTCTCATTTTGAGTAGGCAGTTGATCTCTTGAAAAATAAAAATGAGCCGTGGCTAGTCAATGACTTTCAGGGCACTTTTTACCTCTAATTCTTAAATGGAGGGCAAGTTTGCCTCTAATTCTTAAATGGAGGTACCTTCTGTGTGAAAAATGTTAATTGTACTAAGTAAAACTTAATGTCTTAAAGCCTTTGGGCAAGTAATTTTAAATGAATATTGGGAAATATATTTTAGTGTTAAGCTAATGAAGCCATTGCTAATAATCTGCTGAGATTTCTTACTCAGTTAAAGGTAGTCTGTAAGGGAAAAGCAAATGAATCTCTGTTCTGCTTCAGGATTAAAAAATAAATAATATGGCATACTGGCAGTAAGATGTGTGACAGGAAGCTTGTTATACAAAGTTCAATATTGTATCTTTTAAACTTTACCATTTGGTCTCTTATCTGTGCAAACGAGGTGTTGGGGTTTTGCTCTTCAAAATTAAGGATTTCAATTAGATATTTACATTTCTTGTCTGAAAACAATAGTTCAAGAACGTAAATGTGTTAATTCTTCAGATATTTATGAGATTCTTATAAACAGAATTTGAAAGGATTAGCTGATGTTTGCTTATTGTATAATTTTTTGAAAATATTGATTTCTGAATTGCAAATGCTGAATGTAAAGTACTTTGATAAATCCTATTTTAATTGAGTTTCAATCCAAGTGTGACCTTTTAGTGACTGATCTTACTGGACACTTGATTGGAATTCTTTTTTTTCTTACTTTTTTTTTTCTTCCTCCCTTCTTTCAGAACCAACGAATCCCTTCTGACATGGTATTTCTCAGAACATCAGAAAAAACTGGTAGGTTTTGGTAATTGTGATTGGTTACATGATAACTTAATGATTTCAGTGAAATTTTAAAGAGCGCTAGTTTGAAGCGATCATACAGACTGGTGACATAAAAATCCACTTTCACTATTTGGTTAATGTAGATGTGTCATTTTGAGCCATCCAATATGAGTGGACTGTAAAACAAAATCATACTGAGAACAGAAGACCCTTCCTCTTGTTCTCTGTAACAAAGAGCAATTCTTTGTTATTAATTGATACAATGAAACTTTTACATAAAGCTAATTATTATAAAGACTAGTATACTTAAAGATATACTTGTTTAATGAGGCTTGATAGTATTTATTTGTGGCTAAAATGAGTTGTGTTATGCTGACTGTATTGCAGTACATATTTAAATGTTATTCTATTGCCCTTATTATACAGAAAATAACCAAAATTTCATCCTATTAATTTATTTTAATAATAGTTCAAAAAATCTGTAAAAGTGACCTAAGTGGGTGGGTTTGTTTGTTTGTTTTTTGATAGCTTTAAAAAGCTTGCTAAAAAGTAATACTGCCTGCATGAGTAGTCAAAAAAAAGCACTTTTCTTGAGAGGAATAAACATACTTTACATTACTTACATTTCTCATAACGTAGTGGCGGTTAATAGTAATACTAGTTTTTGAGGGATGTATGTCATCTTAATAGGAACCCTAGATATTACGGTAGTTTTGTTTCAAGTTCAGTAATAACTACTTGGGTGGCTCTCATGCAACTCATTTGAGTTCTCCGCTTTGCATGATTGTATCTCTTCAGGGAGTTCCTCATGGTCTGGTAATTGTAGGGCAGTGCTAAATTTCCAGTAGCTGTAACACTGGAGACCCCTGTATTAGTAACACTGAGTACCGCTGCTCCAGTGTTCGAGTTCTGTCAGCTGTATTTCAGATACAAGGCCAAATTTGCAGATGAGGTTTCTCTGCCTTGTTTCATGGGCATGGATGGCTCTTAGGGTGAGTGATAATAATAGAGCTACATTTGCTAAAAGGAAGAGAATTACTGTATGATCAGCGTGTCATAGTAATGGTTTTTATATGCTGTTTTAGAGACACTGCATCACTGAAAGTGGTCTGGGCTGACAAAGTTTCCTGACAGTTGTTTATTTTTTATATATAATATGAAGCCATCTGTTTCAGAATTTGTGGGGGTTTAGTTTTATTCCTTCCGACAGTGTTTTAATTTCTTAAAATGCATCGTGCTTCTGACAACACAATGCTGTTGAATCCAGCATGATATGATAGGGATTGACTGATGTCTCCTTTTGGGCTACTTGGAGTGTCTTTTTTTTTTTTTCTCCCCCCCATTTACCCAACACCGATTTCAAGAGAAGGTACACCTGCTTAAAAAGGTAAAAAGTAGGAAGATCTCTCCCCCTGTAGAAGGATTATGTTAAACTGGATTATTTACATGCAGCACATGAAGTGGTAAAAGGTCAAAGTGCTTTGATCCCATGTCTCCCTAGTCTTTACTAGCTATATTGGATTATGGGATTGCAGAGCCAGATACCTGTAAGAAATTACAGTCCACTGCAGCAGAAATGCATATGAATAGCAACATTTAGTTAGTTATTTGGAATGATGTGGCTGTAGTAGGCATGCCTGGGTAACTCAGTATGTAACATTGCAGCATGTTTGGTGCTGTAAAAATATCAAGATCTTAATGAAGATCCTTGCAGCAGTTTATATGGATTGTCACTGCTGGAGTAAATGAGCAAGATGAAACAACTGCTAACCTTGCAAAAGAAAAAGTTCTTCAATGTTATGTTTTATGTATCTGCTCTGTAGCATGCTTTCCTCTGTTAATTCTTAAATTCCTGAGTTCAGAAGGAAAACAAATAACACATGGTCTACCTTCGTCTTGACACTGTAAACTAAAGGATGGAGAGCAGATTAGAATGTGGTAGGAAATCCCTATAGCAGAAGTGTGTGGAAAAACTTTTTTTTTTTTTTAAGTAAAAATAATTTATGTCCATTTCACTGGTCAACTTCTTTAGAAGGTTATAATCAAAAATTTCCTTTAGGAAACTCTGAAGCAGTAACTAATTTGATATCTAGACAATAAACCAACATTTAGGCCCTTAAATTTGTTCTGACATAATGGCTTGAATGTGGGCAACAATGGGAAGCTGCTGAGAGGCGGGTGGCCTCATGGAATGGTGTTGTATGTGGAGGTGAGGCCAAGTGGATTATTTGCTGAAGCCTCCACAGCCGGAAGAGCAGCGGCATGGGGCATGTTCCCCTGGCACCAGGACTGGGAGGAAGCACTGGGACCTGTTCTCTTGCTGACTCCTGAGGCCCAAGATAGCATGGCTAATCGCCGTGCTCTTATGATACTGGTCTTTGCCAGTAGCCTTTCATGAGTGTAAGAATTCATTAGTCCTGGTTAAGCCCTTCTTTTCATTGCTGAAGTCTGTGTCATAGAAGGGCATATTTCTGATGGTACCGAAGGAGAGCTAGGTTTTCTTTTCAGTCTTGCCGGACAGAAACTGAAATTCCAAAGGATGAAGTGGAAGTGCTTTTACTAGTTTACTTCATTTTTTTTTGCCCACTATGCTCAAATTTTGTACACCCGACTTCTGCACCGGTAGGATTTTAGGCAGTGATCTGCCTCAAAATCTGCAGAGGGAAAGCCACTGCTTCTGAGACACAGTAATTTTCCCAAGAATCAGAATCTCAAGGCAAGCCCTGAGATAATCCTAACAAACTAGAGTTGAGAAGACTGAAATCTACTAAAATAAGGTCTGCAAATGAACTGTAGTGCACTAACTGCTATACTGCCATCCAGATTTGGTAAAGATTTTGTACCAGAGTTTGCCTTTGGCAGTACTAAAAGTAACTCCTACTGGATGGCCGATCAGTCTCCCTGATGACAGATATCACTCCAAAAACTGCAGGCTTGCTTGTATTTCAAGGTGCATCTCTTCACCTAGCGACTGTATTTGGTTGCTCTACTCTTTTTGGTATTTTGAATCTCGCCTTTTCCAGGAAGCCAACTGCTCTACCTTTTCCTACTTAGAGGTTTAACCTAGCCCTGAATTCATCACGAGTTTCCTTACAGGGACGATATGTTGAGTAAAGCCTATCTAGCAACAACCAAATGACTTGAGTGTCTTCCCAGCACCTGAAATTCAAGAGTTCTAGTCTATACATAGTTCAGTCTGTTCTTTGAATGGATTTTTCTCAAAGGTGTATTTTAAAAATGACTTTGGCATAATGGTATGAGTAAAGCAGAATATAGAATAGGAACATCACTTTTCAGATTTGGTGTGCTCTTTATTTTTGTTAGAATGTAACTGCCGAAGAGGTGATGAATTTTCAGAATTAATTCTAACTATTTTTGTATGAATAAAGCATGGGAATAGCAGTACAAGCTATCTGATAATTCATATAGCTCAATTTCCTGTTAGAAGAAACTCCAAGTAAACTGGTAAGAATGTGCTACGGAGTCTACCTTCTCACAAAAATGACTCTGATTTGTATTAAAAAAGGGTTTTATGCAAACGGTGAATACGTAAGCCTTTCTTCAAAAACAACAAAAAAGTAACACTGTACTGGCATGTATTTTATCTTACTTGCTTAAAAAATCTAGTTTTGCATGTCTCAAAATGAAAATAGTGTTAAAACATATTTGTACCAATATTAAACCCAAAATTCATTGCAAGTAAAAACTATAAAAAAGGAAATGTAAATATTGTCTATTCTGGACAGTGATCCACAAGCAGGAGATAATTATTTATCTGGGCAGCAGGTTCTGCAAATTCAGGTACTTGAAAATGAAAGAGGAAGGGAAAATTTCAGTTTGGAATTTCTTTGCGCAACTTGTGTCACTCTGTATGGAATCAACTGTCGCATAAGAGTAAGAATACTGGAGGAGATGCATTTATCACAAATTCTGGAATTTCCTATTATGTTTAGAAAACATGCACTATGAAAACTACCTATCTGGGAACTAAAATGCTTTGAAAATTTATTGCTACAGAGAATGACAAATGATGGAGTTAAGTTTTGCACATATGGCTAGATAAAAGTTTATCTTCAGGGCATGAGTAGCTGCCAACAATCTGTCCAAACTACTTTAATGTGTTTTTATATTTTAGTTCTGTTTTTATCATTTGCTTTAACTGTGGCTTCAAATGTTTTGGTAGCCATTTTAAGCACTGAGCAGTATTGATTTTATGTGAAGAGCTACTCTTTTAAGATACAGTCAGATACTATGAACTTGTTCCTAACGTTTTGGTGGTGTGAGATAGAAGAAGGAAGTCTTGGTAGATATTAATTCTCATAGTGATGTTGCTCTAAATGTGTATTAATGTAACATTGCACAGTAAAACATTATTAAAAGATATCATGGCATATTTAATTCCTTAATATTTTTCTGTGTATGCTGCCTTGAACAATGTGCACACTTCATTAGATTTGAAACCATCAGTAACAGATGAATGTTTTTTCCATTTACATATTTAAAACAAAATATTAATAACAAGACTGAGAAGAGTTGGAAAAAATATCTCTGTTTGTATGGCAAGGAGGCTCTAAAATGTTTCAGGCAGAGATTGGCCTGTGCCCATGTCCAGGGAAGCGCAATCCCAGAATTCTGGGAATTAGGCCACTTGGCTAGGGTAGCAATCAGAACCTCTAGAAATCCCAAACAGATGCTGATAAATGATGAAACCTGTATTGAGTGCATTTTAACCACGATTTTGAGTTAATGCTTCTGCATTATCTTATTAAAGCTGTATCACTGCCAAATAAAAGGTAAAATTCTAGTGAAATTTAGGAAGTCTAGGAAACAGTAGTTTTCAGAACTGATTCTGGATGCTAAGGGAGTTTAAAGGCAAGTCTTCATCCTTCTAAATGTCCAGGTAACTTCCCATAGCTTTTTACTGTCTTTTCAATCAGGAAAGCATTGAAAAAAAAATGAATTCTCTGCTTTTTGCTACAATGAATTTTGAGTTCGAACGAGTCTTCACACTC